CGAGAGTCTGTACACAGAGGAATTACTGAGAAGTTGTAAATCTGTCTCAGAGGAGGATTTGAATAACATGAAGTAAATAGGGCATGGGGCAATGGTCTGGACCAGGAAAAAACAAAATACTGAACAGTTACTCATTAAGTGAGCACCATCCATTCTGGGCAATGAATCGAGCAGGGATTGTGCAAAAAAGATAAAGGAATGTGATAGTGTAATTAAAGACTGTCACAATATAAACACACAAGGAGGCCAAAATTAATCAGGTCTTTCTTACCTGTGAGTGCATAATTTTCCAGCACAATGAGGTCTAAACAAGTCTTTTCCTGCATGCATGCAGCCTTAGTMATCACCACACCAAAACAGTGCTGTTCTTAACCAAACTTCAGTCTGCAAGCAACAAGTTCAGTTACTTGTACTGAAACAGCATTAGAAGATTTCAAAAATTAASACACATCATGGCACAAGCGTGCCTAAGAGAAAATCCTTGGCTTTGTTTCTTTTTCAGGGCAGGGACAGAAGTCTTAAAACAATCAGCACATCACACAAACTGAGGTGGAAAAGCAGCAGGCACTACTGTGCCTCATCTTCCAGCACATGCCATGGGAACAGAGAGCTTTAATTCTTTTCCCAAGATTACACAAAGGTTTCTGGAAGACAGTTGCAGGCCAGACAGTGTAAACCCTTGGCTGAATCCAAGGCTGTAGGAGCRCCCACATCTCACACATTTCTAGACTCCAGCAGAGCCTTCTGGGGGCCTCAGGTACCATCTGTGCAAGACAATAAATACCATCACTGACTGCAAGGGAATTCATGGAATTCTGAAAGATCCATTCAGCATTTCCTAAACAGAAAGGATTGACACAGCAGCAGAAGAGCTGTTGCTCAGACTCACAATGGAAAAACCTCTTAAGAACTCAGTTCAGAGAAGAACAAACCACAGGCCAAATCCACCTCCTCAATTCCTCCCCAGAGGTAGCCAAACTTCATTCATAACTTAAGCTTACTAAACAGCAAGAATGGCAGAGCCTTAGCAAACCTGCTAGAATTAAAAAAAACTTGCAACACTACAGAAGGAGCATCCCACAGGTCCCAGGATAGCAATGACACTTAACCTAATCTGCCACCTTTAGCACATGCTGTGCCTCCCTAGGACTTGGGACTCGGGACCCTACCTGCCTTTTGGAGCAAAATTGTGGTGTCCTGTTCTTAGCTCAAGAGTAAATATCAATTCAGGGAAAAAAAAAAAAAAAAAGAAGAAGAGATCASCCTCTAGCCAGGGACAAGGCAGCACTTCCTTTTCTCTGCTTTCTCGCAGAGGTAATCCAACACCAACCTTTGCTCAGAGCATCAGACTAGGAGTTWGATCCTTTATTTGCAAAATCTCACAGCCCTCAGGATGTCACCAGCAAAAGAAGAAGGGAAAAGCCTAGGCTGGCTCCATTGCTTGATGCTCCAGATTACTCATTTTGCTTTCCTAGAGAAGAAAATCATTTTGACTGCTGGGCTCCCCGACCTTTTCCACCACAGACTGAATTTTAAACTGTGCTAGGATTTCTCCACCAGCTACTGCTGTGGTGTTTGCAAAGCCCTTTAACACTTCCTTGCTATTTTGCTGTTGCTCAGCAAGAAACTTTCAGGCCAGAGACACGTACCAAGGCTTTTATTTTGTGTTATTTTTGTCAGGTTTGTACAACATAAATAAGAGTTACCTTACTGTTTTCTCAGAGGCACAAACTGCTTTTTGCTGCTGTGCTTTGCATATGAATGCAAMCACCACTGACCTCCAGGGTGTGTAAGTGCCACTAGGAACAACCTACAACGTTTAAGAAAGTTGTACTGTATCTAGCAGTGTCTTCCTTGCACTTGTATTATCCACGCAGTTTCATATCCTCACTTTTGTATCAAACACCCTCTAACAAATTCAAGAAAAGGTGAAGTTTGCACACAAGAAATCCGACATCTGCGAAACTCRTCCGATTATTCTGCCTATATCTGTTAAGAATCTATGATGTAGCAATACGTTGTGTGGGGAAGGAAGAGAAATCCACCAGAGACTCCTGCTTTTTGAACAGTAATTTCACGTTGAAGCAGAAATGTGCTATACTACCATATTAGTTTWAAAAWWTTTWWAAAAAWTAAAAATCATTGCTACAGAAGAAATTGGAAATAGAAGCAGCCAGTGAGGGAAAGCCAAGCAATTCTACATGGAGCCACATTGTGTGTGCCAGCACTTTCCTCCCACCTCTCCCTCTGCTCTTCCTTCATGATGAAGGACAGCATCCTTCATGATGTTTCAGCTCAAGCCCTGACCACTCACACTGCACAGGGACTCAGGGAAGATATGTTATGACCTYAACATATTTCTCCTCATAGCCTATCAAACTTAGGGCCAGCACATCCCTGGAATGCACCAAATTCTGCACAGCATTTCCATCTTTCCCTTTCTGCTGTAAGAGGAAACAACAGTGCCACCAGTTTAGTCATCAGATCACATTTATCTTTGCTGTAGCCTTTAGGATTTCATCGAATTTTGGATCAATGGGGTTTGGGGCCTGGATCCCATAATGCTAATGAGCAGTGAGATCCCACACTMTCTTTTACACATTCAACACAGATTTAAAGCGATGCTGTTGGGCACAGCTTCAGGTATAACTGCTTCTTCTGTAACCTTGAA